GGTTTGGTGCTTATGATTCTTCGAGGACAACTAAAATTAAAGCTATTTACCAAAAAACAAGAGATGGCATATCAAGCAAAGATTGCATTTACTACAACAATGGTCCTCGATGCAAAGCCAACAGTTATGCCTATACGCAGAAGACAAGTACCACTGTGTACCTCTGTAACCTTTATTATGGAGATCCGACCGATTGCAGTAAGACTGGTGAGAGCAAGGAAGGTACACTGCTTCATGAATGGTCCCACGCTTATGGTCTCATTCAAGATGTTGCTTATGGTCGTAATAATTGCAAGAATTTAGCAAAGGATAGTCCAAGGTGTGCCATCGTAAATGCTGATAATTACGGATATTACTATTGTGATGCTCAGTAATGAAGCTCATCAGCTAAAAGCCAAGAACTTTAAGACTCATGCAACACTATAGGACATGCACAGTTTATTTTTGCTGCTTTAGGCCATTTTTGCTTACATGTAATATTACATTTTTGATTAATTAATAGTATTCTTGGCTTTAATAATAAAGTTTCATAACTTTTCAATATTAAAGTGAAAAAGTAGAGTATCATTTAAGCAATTTTAAGACCTTTGCTGGATAAAAGTATGAATGAAAATAATTTCAGACAAGTGTAGAACATAAAGGGAGTGAGACAGAGCTCTCAGTTTGAAATAATTTTAAACTATTTTAGGTATAAACTTAACTAAGATGAGGAGCCCATTGATCAAACTTATTTCACTGTCCATTGTGTCATACCTTGGGTTACAGTATAGTGGGAAATTTTTGAGTGGCCAAATTTTGCATCTTTTGCTTTGTCGTGTAAATAAGAATCTTAAATTTTTGCATCTTCATTGCCATGTCATACAATTTTCAATTTTGTTTTGGTATTGCCTTATTTGCCATTATTGTGACTCATTATTATTCATTGGCCTCACCAGCAATTAGCGTGGGCAAAGACTATTTAGAAGCAATCATAGATCTATGAAGCAGTCTCTCACTTTGAGGTATTGTCAGTATTGTGCTTTTAGAAGGGGGTCCGCTACACTAAGATAACTTCTCCATGCGTTAGAAAAAGTTACTTTCTTTAGCTTTATCAAGTATAAATGGCAGTGCAAGGAACCAAAAGCTAATAATCTTGCCAAATGTAGGTAGGTTCTGCTATCATTTTGTCATGCTTCCAGTAACAGGGCTATCTAGTATCTCTAGAGAGACACAAAATCTTTTCTTTAAAAATATGCAGCGTTTTTCTGTAACTTTCTTTGTCTTGAAGAAAGGAATGCCTAAAAATTACTTACCTCTTCACTTTACACAAGGCGCTTGTCCTTAGGAAGAGTAGTTAGGCCTATATGAACTTCAGATGCTTGACAAGTTGCAGATGATACAAAACTCTTTCAAGTTGTCTCTTCATTCAATAACAATGTGGCTCTACAATCTGACCTCACGAGTATCTCTGAATGGTGTGATAAATGGAAGTTAAACTTAAACCAAAATGTACTTCCCTGTTCTTCACACTCAAGATATCATCAGGCCCTTCCCTCACCATCAATGATTCTGCTCTGGGCCTAACCTCTACTCATTGGGATCTGGGTATTATAGTCTCTGCAGACTTATTATGGTCCCAACACATCTCCAAAGTGTGCTCATTTGCTTACAAAGTTCTCTACTTCATCAGAAGGAATGTCTACTCTTCTCACTCTGATGTTCTCAAGTCCCTGTACATCTCACTGGTAAGGTCAAAGCTGCTGTATTGCAGCCAGCTCTGGAGTCCCCACTGCCTTAAGGACGTCACCTGTCTCGAGACAATCCAAAGGCGTATGACTCGCTTCTTTCTACTACATTTCTCACCTGATTCTCCTTGCACATTCCACTACATTTGTCCCTGTACTTCCTGTCACCTCCAATAATCACTCATGCAAACTTTAATTCACTTATTTACTTGATTTATTTACTTTTATTTTTTTTTCTGGCTGCAACAAATGTTGTTGCAGTCCTTCAGTACCCTCTGTCCTTTTTCTCTCGTCTCTGCCTATATTTGTTTTATACTGTTAAGTTCATAATAATAATAATAATAATAAAGAGTTTGTATGGCCAGAACAAATAGGGCCTACTAAATGCATGTGTGCACTGAGTAGAAGACCAAGAAACTCAAGCTTCCAGGGGGGGGGGGGTGCTTGAGCACCCACCTTATGGCTGGGCTCAGAAAAAAATTACTGAAGTTCTGGACTCTTGCATCACTACCAAGCCTCTTAATAAAGTTATCTAGCACCCTGATCATGATTTCAGCAGTTTCCAGTTCTTCAAAGAGTGATTAGAAGTACCAGTATGCTTGAAATGATCTTGAGCCCACCCGTAATTGACGAAAATGAAGAATAATGCCATTTTACCCGCCGTAAAAGTGGGACGTGGTCAAAATTGCGGTGCGCTTTGCGTGCCCCTAATTCCAACTTCTGCTGCTTTCTGTACCCCAGCACCCCCCCTTTCCCAATTCCTAGATACGCCCGAGCTTCTTCTAGCAGTTACTCCAAGAGACACCATTTTACTCTAGCAGTCAAGATGGACTGTGACAACTCTAGCAATCAAGATTTGACACTTTCTCTGTACTGTAACAACTGCCACTCTGCTGCCATGCTGTGTAGGGAGGCGCAGATTATTCTGGCACAAAAATGAGCATAATAACTATAGATAGAAGAATACAAGAATTGTGCCAGCATAATTGGGAAATATCTGGAAATTACTAGCATAAAAGGCAAAATATCCTGAATTTAATGGTTAAAGAGATCACTGAGATAACTGAATTGTTTTTTTAGCTGCAGCCTTTTTGAAGTTTTACAATACCCTTGGAGATCAACAAATGTTTTTACTTCTGTTGCACCTTTAGACCATGCATTAATGCATTGATTAATTAATTTTTGCTATGATAATGCATGTTCTTGATTGGTTTTTGAGCATAATTGAGAGAATAATGTAGTATTCCTGAAGAAAAATCATGACATTTTATGAGCAATGCTGCATCAAATAATTGAAGGAATAGGGAGCATAATCTGCATGAGCCTAATGCTGTGTGATTGCTGCAGTGCTGTCAGTTTGCAGCCACACCCAAACACCCTCACATTTAATTAGACTATGAAGAATGCAATCAAAACTAGAGCAATCAACACTATGTTAATATAGTGGTAATATGCAGAACAAAATATAGTTTTGAAATTATACATGTAAAATATTGTTTTTCTTTGTTTTGGTGAGGCCAATGCACCATCTGTGTCTCGTAAATTTAATGAAAAGAGTCGCTTAAAAGAATCAAAAAAGATTTTAAAAGCTCTGTTTCACTCCCTTTTTGTTCAAACTTGTCTGAAGTTGTTTTCATTTATGTTGATTCATAATTTCATCAACATCTTAAAATTTGTTTAATTGATACTCTACTTTATTCACTTTGTTATTGAAAATTTAAGAAATTTTAAGCCAAGAATAATATTAATCAAAAATGTAATATTACATGTAAGCAAAAATGGCCTAAAGCAGCAAAAATAAACTGTGCATGTCCTATAGTGTTGCATGAGTCTTAAAGTTCTTGGCTTTTAGCTGATGAGCTTCATTACTGAGCATCACAATAGTAATATCCGTAATTATCAGCATTTATGATGGCACAGCTTGGATGTTTCTTTGCTAAATTCTTGCAATCATTACGACCATCAGCAGTATGATCGAGGAGACCATAAGCGTGGGCCCATTCACGAAGCAGTGTACCTTCCTTGCTCTCACCAGTCTTACTGCAATCGGTTGGATCTCCATAATAAAGGTTACAGAGGTACACAGTGGTACTTGTCTTCTGCGTATAGGCATAAGTGTTGGCTTTGCATCGAGGACCATTGTTGTAGTAAATGCAGTTTTTGCTTGATATGCCATCTCTTGTTTTTTGGTAAAAAAAAATAATTTTAGCTGTCCTTTTTGAATCATAAGCACCAAACCACGTAATAGATATGTTGTTGTTGCCAACTTTACCTTTAGCTTTATCGATGCCTCCACAGAGCTTCTTATGAGCATCCTCGGTTGCACTGTTCTGAACATTACCATTTTTAAAAGTAGCACTGCCGCAGTCTTGGAGGTGGACAGTGTAATCGATTTCTGCATCACCTTCCTCCTTTGGTTTTGAAAGGAGAGAAGTGTCTTCCAAATGAATGTGAACAGATTTATGTACGATCGATTCCCTGAGCTGATCAATAGACATTGCTCTCATCTCATTCACTGACAGATACTGTAAAGGTCTACTGTACTGCACAGTGTAAAGACCATCAGCATCAATGCTAAAGGCATCAGTGATTTGGACTGTTGCCGAAATACTCTCAGCTGCCTTCAAGAGAACAAACTCATCCTTTGTAGGAGGAGCACGACGCATAATAATACCTTCATATTCCAGTGGACGACCGTCAAGAGAGACAGAGACAAATTGAGAGTCGAGTCCTTCAAGAGGAGTGTTACGTTTCAGTAGATAAAGATCTTCATTTGCATTGTTGGTAAACTCAAAAGAGCAAGCAACTGCAGAAAGAGCTTTATTACAAGCCATGTCAACAGAGATTGGCCAGCCATTAGCACTGCATGTACAAGAGAAAAGTAACATTGATTTGATACTGTAGTAACATACCTCAGAGTACAGGTCAGGTAAGTAACCAGACAGAAGAGTGAGAGTAGAGCCTTCATGATTCCTTTCCTTGATAGACGGTATTTCTCGTTCTTGTGAGATGATTTCTTGTTTTAGTGAGAAGTGATTCACTGCTGCTGGTCACCTCCTTATATTCTATTAGGTAGTACTTCATCAATATTTATTAGCAATTAAGCAAAAGCTGACCAGTCAGAGGCTAGCTGCATGACATCAATCATTTTGAACAAAAGGTCTTTGTATAGACCTATGACTGTATACTTAGAATTTTAACAGTTGAAGTGTTTTCCAAGTTACTATACTATCTAACTTTCCAGTTGAAGTGTCTACCAAGCTACTATACTATCTAACGTTTCAGAGAAATGACTATAACTAGTTTTGACTTCCTTTAATGATGAGCAATGAGCCAATGACATACTGGTGTGTTCAACTACCTGGACTGTGTACATTTTGTACAAACCTTACTATAAAGGAGATGACAATCTGAATGTATTGTATTGTAACTGATATTTTAAACCAACTATCAGATGGCTACCCAATATCTAAATGGAGTGTTGTTAGTCTCGCTCTGCCCCTTTGCTACCTCCAGGTCGCAAGTAGCGAAGGGGCATGGCGAAACTAGAGTGTTGTAAATGATAGGTATGACAAGTAATGCAGCTTGTTTCTTCTTTGTCTTGCTTTCTTACAGGAAACTGTTGATTTTTTCCAAATGAATTACAATAAGTTGAAATGTCCTTTTTGACTTACCAGAGACATGGATAGTAGAGGAGGAGAAAGGGATTGGAAACACGCAATACTGCTGTATAGAGGATATGCATGCTAAGTATATTCATTGCAAAATAAATGTATTCATTGCATACCGTAATAACTTTTATAAAAAAATTAATTCATTGGACGTCAGTTTTCGATTGGCAGGAATGGAGAAACGATAGAAAAAGGCTTGGTACCAGGAAACCTCTCTGTATTTCTTAACAGCAATCTTTCAGGTGACTACTAGACCCCATTAGATCCTCAGGATGCTTTCTAAGCTTCCGAAAAAGGCCTCAAGAAGGTAGCAAGGCAAGAAAATGTGTTTTCTCCCATTGAACTCTTAATAAACTTGACGTCCAACATGGCGGCCAATTTACTGAGTGGGTTGGATATACAGTACTTAAAAGTTATAAATAACTTTCAAGAAAAAATAATTAATTCGTTGGACGTCACTCACGTCATTTTTCCATTGGTAGGAATGGAGAAACAATAGAAAAAGGCTTGGTAGTTGGTACCAGGAAACCGCTCTGTATTTTTTAACAGCAATCTTTCAGGTGACTACTAGACCCCATTAGATCGTTAGTATGCTTTCTAAGCTTCCGAAAAAGGCCTCAAGAAGGTAGCAAGGCAAGAAAATGTGTTTTCCCCCATCGAACTCTTAATAAACTTGACGTCCAACATGGCGGCCAATTTACTGTGTGGGTTGGATATACGGTACTTAAAAGTTATGAATATACTTAGCACGCATATCCTCTATTAATATAGTCTGGTAACCACTAACCAGCCCCTTGCAAAACATGCATACGCATGTTTTGCAAGGGGCTGGTTATCAGACTACTTTAAAATCATCGGGAGTAGATCATAGATGGATAGATCCAGTGCCTTATAATTGCTTTGCTAGCTTAGGCTCACCCCTTAATGTTCTACATTTGTCTAGTTATAATTATTTTTAAAGCTTTAGTTTATAAGTTGTTCTCAAAAAGAGTAGTTTTCTTGTCTTTTTCTCTAAATAAAATTAAGAAAAAATGACTGCAGGTCTAGTTACTGATAAAAGTCAGTTTTATTCGAGGTGCCATTTAGGCAAGGTTGCAGAGAAATGAGAGAACTTTGGGGAGGGGGGGTTCAGCCCCTTCTGTTTCAAGACTGGGGGAGCTCAAGTTTAGCCCCCTCTGCTCCCCCCTGTTCTGCTGCTTATGCCCATGATTACAGTCTATTTGTATAGACAGTGGCAGTGGTACAGTGAAAAACATATTATACTGTGCACAGTGCACACCATTCTGCAGCTGCCTATGGGTGAAAGTCTCGTGATTCAGTGACAAGTTTGCAGGCAGGGTCAAGCTGCAAGGCTATGATATGACGGATTATGACCCAAATCCTGTAAATTATAGGTGTGGCTGAACATAATCTGAGCTGATGATATGGCATATTGTATAGTGGGTAATTTTCGGTGGTTAAAAATTTCGACTGAAACCAGAAATGACTTTAGAATAAAAATTCGTCAGTTTTATTTTCGACTAGACAAAAATAATTGATCTTATGTCTTCATGAACATCTGTAGGACTGATAGCATTACAAAGAGGTCCTCTGGTCCTGTGGGGTCTGGAAGAGATTCTTTAGAAGGTGAACACCGTTTTCAAGGCCATCCATGCTTGTTATCATGTTATTAATAATTTATTATGGTCACGCCTATCTTCAGAATTAATTTTCATCAGAATTAATTTTCGTTCCGAATTAATAGCAACGAAACAGACGAAAATAAGCACCAGTCGGAAATTACCCGCTATACGGTATATTCGTCTGTCTATGTGTTGTCTTGACTAGCATCACTGCATCAGAAGACATTTAAGAAATCACCAATATATTACACAGATTAAAATCATCCAACTAGCATTTGAAGCATTAATTCCAGATCTTGAATGTTGTGGTATAATGTTTGGAGTTGTACTACACTAAGTAACACTATGCTGAATGGCGGTTTGCCGCCCCCTCCCCCCGGTGGGTCATGGACTGGTGGTGTGGACCTTTCAAGAATGTCTTTATCTGATCTTTTTCCACTAGTTGTAGGGGAAGTGGGAGAGAAGGACACTCTGTTAATTTGATACGAGGTACTGCTATAAGTTGGGTGGAAGAAAAAAGCTGCAAAATCAGAAATCATTGTGACATTGAACTAGCTGCACGTATATAGACCCTTTGCATTACGTGGGGCACTTAGGAGGTTGGGCCTTTGTCAGCCATCTTGGTGTACAAAATGTGTAGTTGCTGTACTAAGTAATGGTGCATGGCGATTGCTGCTTACGGCGTTTGAAAACTAAAAAAAGTAGAATAATATTTTCCTTTTTTATATGAAAATCCAGGGGAATGCTCACTCTAATTCACTATAAAGTAAAATTAATGATCAAGTTGTCTCTGTTAAACAGCAGAACTGAGGCTCTAGCTGGGCATACTTCCATTACCTCCAACTGGCTCTAACTTGCTCAAATAGTTTCAAGTTACCTTTTAATGTCTTTTTATGTCATTTTTATCATAAAAGTGATCACTATAAATGATAATAATGCAAAAATAAGCAGGATTATGAAGCTGCATCAGAGGGGATTTTGGAAATCGCCATCAGGTTTTACTGTTTAATAAATATGGTGATTCCCAGGTGTGCAGTTGGATCTTGTCACATTTGTGTATAATAAAAATACAAAGGAAATGGGGAGTTTCATAAATATTTAAATGAAACTCTGAGTAGATCAAAAATTAAAATTGATGGTTATTTTAAAAAATTAATACTTAAGAAAAGAGCACTTCTGCCATTGCTTTTTCAAAAAGCAATGGCAGAAGGATATGTGTCTCTGTCTAACATCAAGATCATTATTTGTGGACCTCCATACGTTGGTATTCAAGGCTTTATTGCTTAACAGCGAGCCTCCTCTCAAACACAGTAGTATACCCATCGCTGCACGTCCTGTGCAAGCCATTGAAATACTAGCTGATGGAGATAAAGTTTGGAAAGAAGTCACGGATGATGATTTGCTTTGAATGCTTTCAGATACTATAGGAAAGCAAACTATTTCACACTCTAAAACGTCATCTAAAAAGCTTATCATTCTGCTCATCCAAAATTATTGCATACAGCTGTTTTTTTTTGAAGAAACTCCATCACTTGATTCTGGAGTTTCCAGCAGCACACATGATGTTTCACATGTAATCACAACCAGAAGATAGAGACTTTGCTTCAAAAAAAATTTGGAGCAATTATATTCTCATGTGATAAGGAAAGAAGAGCCACATGAGTTACATGAGTCTACATGGATTCATCTGATAGATAGTGGAGGCCAACCTCAGTTCATTGATCTCCTTCATTTGTTTATACGTGATAATTCACTGTACATTATTGTAATGAAGGTGACCGAATCCCTTCATGACAAACACACATTTTCCTATTCACTCGATGGTAAACCAGTCAGTGTACCAAAGGAATTATCAATGACAAACCTTCAGATTATTGAGAGCTTTGTACGTTCAGCTACTGCAGCCTCAAGACTCAAAATGACCAATAGTAAACCATCATTTGCAATTGTGGCCACTAACT